TTTTTTTCTTTTTTATGTGGCAGCGTTCTCCTTTTATATGTGTGTATGCTTGTATTTATTCTATTTTTTTATTATTAATTAGGCCTAATCCAATGCCAAATCTAGGTCCATTCCTTTTTTTTTCTTTTTCAATCTTGATCTAGGCTCAATTCCTCCATTTTTATTTTTTTATTTTTTTCTTCTTCTTTTTCTTCTTTGTTATTTTCGCTTTTTCTTTTGGATTTTTTTTTGTATTTTTTATGGGGGTAAAAATAGGGTGATGACATGTAATACGGACTAGTGGATGTTAGCTATAGAAAAGGATTGGAGAATTATAAATCCTTTGTCCTAGCATCACGGTCGGCTTAGGTATATTGTGCTAAGTATCCTAGCTTGAGGTAGGATAATTGAGATTAGTGGACTTGTTTGTAAGATTAAAGCTAGGTTTGTGTTTGAGTTTTTTGAATAATGTATAATAATCAAACAAAATACCGAACCTTTTTAGTAGGACGATTTAGAAATCCGACATGATTTGACATAGGAAGTCGATAGTGATTTATTGTTGAATGATCTAAATGAATTGTTTGAAGACATAGAATTAGTTGAGGCTTACAAAGAATATGATAATGAATATGAATCGGTGTCAATCGAGGGAGATGAAAACTTAATCGGTGATTACGATTATAGTAATTAAATATTAATTATATTAGTTGTATTAGTAAGAAATGATGTATTTGTTCGATTTTGTTTTTACAATATATCATATTGACTTTCATATATTTTTAAAATGTTAGTTGTGTATTTTAGTCGTGTTATGTTTTAAGTAGGTTGCGTATCGGGTAATTAGAAAATATCCAATTTTCTAGATACGCTTTCGAAATTATTTTTTCTTATGCTTATAACTACTAATATATTTATTATATCTTTTTTTTTACTGTCTTAAGTGATATTATTAAGCTATGATGCATGGTTCATGCCGACCTCCCACACCCCTTAGGGATCACGATTGGATAGTCGTGGACGTGCATCCCTACCTAACGGTAGTGAACATAGTTCTCTATCTAACATCAATTATGGTTCTCTATCTTTAGGCACTATTCGTAGGTCCAATGACATTGGATGTTCAACTTATTCCTTCATCAAAAATAGCAATTCTACACTAATTTTGACATCTCCATCCACGATTGTTCGTTTGGCTCACTCGTCCGTCAAGTCTCCCCAACCTCCTCGAGGAGTCCATCATTTGTTGATGTATCTACTAGTCCGGTAAGCTCCTAAGGCTCCAATATTTGACAATTGGTTTCGATCGTTAATTGTTAGTAAGTAATTTACTTTAAACCTTGTTATTTTTTTTAATTTTAACATATCGTTTCAATAATTATTACATGTTTTTTTCATGTTCGATAGTTTGGTACCATGCTAGAGAGATTACTCTAAAAGTATAACTATGATTTTCAAAGAGTGGTTAGATGCTAGTGGCTCGAGTGGAGTCCATTTCAAAGCGTACGAAACCGTTATACTATAATGAGTTTAAGATAACATATTACTTATTTATTTATATTTTAATAAAAATATTAATTTAATATGAAATAAACTAATATTAAGTTTTTTATTCATATAGAAGTATTTTTACTAGGAACCGACCATCGAGGGATAGGCTAGAGATGCTTAAGAGGCTTTGGCTAGAAGGGGCTACACCGGCTTCGTCCGGGCTTTGGCTAGAAGGGGCTACACCGGCTTCGTCCACAAGCATGGTACGCATGAAGAAAGTAATTTTTTTTATTAGGCGGGAGAGGTGGGATTCATGAAAGCAAGATTTTGCCACACCTAATCATCATTTGCATTCCCATCAAGCATCACGTAATCGATTGTTCGAGACCGATGGTCCCGGTTTAGGACCATTCGGGCATGTAGGAGGGTCCATATCCGCTTTTGAGCAAGCCCCGTCGCCTATTAAATCCTATCATATCTTATTAAATGTTTAAGAAATTAATAGTTTTATCTCATATATTATTTATGTCATTGTTTTTAGACTATGAAATTAGGCTATCGACCTATAAATTTAGATTTGTTTGGGGTCATTCACAACTAGAGAGATGAGAATTTCATCGATTTACAAGCCCATTCTACAATGGTAAGTTTATTTTTCTTTTTATATTATACATATGAGAATATAATCTAAAAAATTATTTTAATTTTTTATTAACGTAATAATTATTTTTATTACATAGGAATATGTGGAGGAGACGATACAGGAATCTGTAAGGAAGCAGTGAGAGGTTAGAATTGAAGAGCCTCGAGTCAACATAGATGTCATATACTTTGATGCTGTAAGAGAGGAGAAAAAGAAGAGGCCTTATAGGATTGGGTTAGAGGTAGACCATTATTTTTCCTAATCAACTCGCGCTAGTTACTCCGTTATAACATTACGAGCTTCATAGCCCTTGTGCCATTGAATGCCCTCCACCTCAATATGAATAGATGATGAGGGCATTACAAGAAAAGGTAGAGGACCCAAACAATATTATCATGTAGCAAGCAGATGAAGATTCGGGGGATGGAGGCTAAGATGGATTCGATTTCATTGATGTGAAAGAGGATGGCATAGCTGATCGCTTGCCTACTAACCCCTCTACCGACGATGACTCCACACTCCTTCCCGCCGAGCCCTTAGGAACCATCGTCCCTTCCATCGAGGCCTAAGACAACACGCTCCCTCCTAGTGAGTTCTAAGATTCCACCGTCCTTCCCACAAAGCCCTAGGAAGATGAGATGGGACTACATGATATGCAATGACTTTTACTTTTTCTTTTATGTTTTTAATCTTTTTCTTACGTAGTAATTAATAAATTTTAAAATATAAAGTTTATTTTAATTTGTAATATTTTAATATAAAATTTTCATTTTGATTATAGTTGTTTGCTTTAATTATGAGTTAATACCGAGAATATTAAATTTTTTAAATTAAAAAGCAAAATTAAATTAAAGAAAATAAAAAAATATTTGTGATGGAACTAGCTATGGAATTATAATGAAATAGCGATGCAACACCTATAGACTAGCGATGGATTTCAAAACAATAAATTAAATTTGGTATAAAAAAATGACGAAAAACAATTTCGTCGCAAAATCATGTCCGATTAGCAACCAAAACAAAGATGGATTAATGACGGATTTATCTTCGAAACCAGCGATGGTTTTTTTATCATTAATTAATGACGGATTACATATAATTTTGTGACGAGTTGGCAACGGTTCTTGATCTCGCTCGTGTTGTCATTTAGCAACAAGAATAATTTTTAGCAACGAGTGTCCATCACTAATTCGAGTGATGGACACTATTAAATCCATCGTAAGGGTTAGCGACACTCGTTTTAGCTTAAGAATTTTTTCATCACAAGTCCATCGCTAATGTATGATTGTGACAATTAGCAATGAAATTATTCATCGTTAACTAGTAGATTTCTTATAGTGAAGAGTGGTGGTAGTGGTGGTGGTAAAATAAAAGTTATGATAGTTGTCGAGAAAGAGTGGTAGTAGAATAATAATAATAATAATAGTAATTTTTATCACCATTGTTAATGGTGATGGTGGTGGTAATGGTATAATAAAAGTGATGGTGGTTATTGAGAAGGTGAAATAATAATAATAATAATAATAATAATAATAATAATAATAATTTTTAAAACTTTTTATCATCGTTGTCAATGAAGGTGGTGGTGGTGGTAGTGATGGTGATGGTAGTGGAAAAAGTAACCGATACACAAGAAATTAAAATAATGTATCATTATTTTGAAAAAAATAATTTCATTCTCATTTTTTATTTTTATTCCTACCTCTCATATTCAAAAGAAATTATGTCTAATTTTCATTTTCATTCTCACTTTTTATTTCTATTTTTACTTTATTCTTTTTACTCAAATAACTATAAAATAAAAATAAAACTTTCATTGTCATTCTCATTCTTAGTCAAACTATTCAATTTCTAGTAACCAAATAACCCTTTAAAGTTTTAACTTGAATCATATATATATATATATAAAGAAAGAAAAAAGGACAATCTTTCTTGCAACAAAAATAGTAATTTAAATATAGAAGACACTTATAATATTTGGACGTAAAATTTGATTTGAGAACACTTTTATTAAAAAAAAAAAATCTTAAAAGGGATCCATATATGTTATTTTGAGTATTGTTGTTGTTGTTAATAAAGATTTTGAGCATCCTTAAAGTAAAGGACACAGTCCTAGAAGATATTCTTTCGGTCCCAAAGATGTCTACCTTTCTATTTTATATATATTCCAAAATATTTATCCAATTAAAATTTTAAATAGTTTATTTTTCAAAAATATATCTAATTAAGGTTTATTTTATAAAAAAACTGTCCAAATACAATTCTTAAAAGATAGTATTTTATAAATAAAAAATACTTATATGATATAATAATTAATAATTTTTTAATGTATGTAAAAAAAAAAATCTCTTTAGGAATATGATTTATATCAACCATGGTCAAGGTAATAATATAAACAAAACAAATAATAGCAGTTTGTGGAGAAAATAGATCAATGCGCAATAAATGAATCCAAGCATGCGCAACGTTAACAAACGTTTTTTTGTTTGTTGCGAGCGAGTCTTAAATCCTAATAACTCCAACTCTTGACTTTTTCCCCCTAGTAAGCTTCTTTTGCTTTCTCACCTGAAGTTGTTATGGCTTTCAAGTTTCCAGATTGGAGTCGTTTTAAGAATTAAATATCAAATCCCGGTCAGGACCATTTTATCTGTGGCAGGCTCGAGCATAACTTTCATGATTAATTATCACCTTTGAAATTTGGAAAAACAACATTTACAGTCATAAAAACCTGTGAAATCAAAATTTCTTCGCATGGAAAATACAAGAAGATTGTTGGGTGTGAACTACGAAAAGCTGAAACTTCAATGTCAAGGAAGAAGTTTGAATCGGATCAATTTGTAGAATTCGCATAGGTTTTGACTTGGACTTCTAACATATCAAGTCAAACACGTGATGCGTATCCATCTGATGCCAATTGCCTTTTGCCTTTGCCCAACCAGGCCCTTTTGTTTACGAAAGCTCTGTTGTCTCAGAATGTAGAGTAAGCCACCATTAGAGAGTGTGGTTAGGCTAACATTTGAAATCAATAGCAACCCTTAATAATGCTTGGATTTGTACCCTTTTCCTAATTTTTATTATTTTTTGGAGTTGGATTGAATCTTCTCATGTTATGACAAACTGACTACATATACAAAATTATGCTATTTCTTAGAAGAGGCATAGTGCGTGCTAAATTACATTTCCCAATACTCAATAGGTCTCTCTGTTAACTTATGTAGCATAACGCTAAGGCATTCAGAGCTTGAAAAGAACCGACGCTGGCATATTTGTGCTTGAGCTTGTTTTGGCATTTTTTTCTGGTGATTTGCTTATTTTAAGTTAACAGGTCTGCAATATATAATGATTTGTTGCATCACAGATTTGTATGTAAACATTAGGCAATTCACAATAACGAAAAGGGTAACTATTCTAGCTAGTTTATTTAGAATGTAAATATGAAATCCTTTTACACATGATTATTTTTCTGTAACAAGCTCACATTTGCTTGATACAGAATGACTTATTGACTTTCTTAATTATAATACTAATAAAATAATGAAGGGCATAATTGTGCTTAATTATATATCATAACCTAAACGTAATGAATTAAGTCAACCAATGATCTTATTATAGACTCTTATTTCAGTTCGTAGTCCCTACTGCCATAAGGGCTGAATGCTTCTGCTAACATGTTGCTCTTCCTCCAAGAGCTCCATCCCATTTCTTCACAGATTTCATCGCTGTGGTTGATACTGAAAGTTGAGATGCAATGCCTTTTATAAAACCTGGTAGTCCTCTTTGCGATTTCAATCTCTTTAGACACTTGTTCAAGCATCTTGTCAATAGTTGGGAGCTTAAATTTGTTGTCAATAAGTCGTGCCAGCCAGATGCTGCGCAGCTCTGCTGTGTGAAGGTTTGCAACACTCTCTATGTATCCCACAAAAGCCATGTTTGGTATCAACGGATGAATAGTTCCCCTGTAACAAAAATTAAGAGTTAATAAGATATTACATGAATCACTTGGTAACTCTTCTGATAAACAGATTTAAGTTTAGGGAATCAAAAAAGCTTACCTGTACAAGGGCATAACGCCAGAATGAGCATCTTCTAACAAACTGCAAAAAGGATCTGGTAAGATATCTTTGAGCTTTTTCTTCCCATCATAACCAGTTGCAAATATGACAACATCAGCCTCCACTTTAGAGTTATCCTCAAATTCAAGTCCTTCCCTATTGAACCACCATTTTGATGCTTTTTTGAACACAATCTTTCCCTTGTCCGCCTCAGAAAAGAAATTCTCTGGCATGATAGCCATCTGACAAGATGCATAGTCTTCAATGAAAGGGTGATCTGGTTTTAATCCATACTTCTGCAAAGGAAGTTTGTGGAGGAGATAGGACTCTATGAACTTGGAAACTGCATGCCTCTGTGAATTAATTCCGTTGCATTAGGTATAATTACCATTAGTTTTTTAGAACGTCAAAATTCAAACTAAGAAATGAATTGAATATGTTAAAATGTGCTCACCATTGGAGATAACAGCAAGCAAAGCATAGTCCTGGTGAGACTTTGGTTTGGTCTTTCGTGTATGAACTGAGAAGATCTTGTGGAAAAGAGCAAGAAAAAGGGCAAACCCCATACACAGTAATGGGGCACAGTCCAGTGTAATGTCCTTGCGACCATGGTGCATGGTTGCCCTTCTGGACCTACAACACACTCAAACATTACATCTTGATTTAATAAGTAAAACAGAGAAAAAAAAAGTTTTGGACTTTATCAACTTCTTTTCCGCGACGAAAAAGGGAAAGGAAAAAAAAATTAATTCTTTCAATATTATAAAACCATATCTTCATTTCACTATCACCAAAGAGTTGATTTCATCAGTACAAATTCTGTGAATAATTTCCAAATGTGGGATTGATAGTGTTTTTTCTTCGTGGACGATGTTTAAAACTGTCCATTTTTATTTAATTAATTATATTTTGCTTTGATGATTAAATATGCATAGTCAAAACTGGAATGTAAAATGGCTGAAAACGTGCGCCGTCAATAAGTCCAAACATGATCTATACTTCATTATAGATTCTGAGAATTGACCACGAGATTGCATTTGTCTTTCCTTTAGCATGACTTGTATAACCATGCACATACCATTAATTTTAACGTGGAAATTTATAAGTAGTCAAGAGCTATGGTAGTTTCGCTACTTTTTCCGGGACCAAACCATGACACTATCCATATGTAAGATCACAATAAAAAAAGTCAAGACAGATCTTTACATTAAATTTTAATAGGCAAAATATGGCCCAATATTTAAACAGTAAGTGGAGAATGTGAGATCATCAGTTGCGCGTGTAAAAAAGCAAAAAAGAAAAAAGAAAAAGGAATCTGAAGGAAATTGAAAGCAATTGATGTGAAATTGATAGGAGAATACGTGCCAAATTAAAACATATATACCGTTAATAAAACACTACCTACTAAAAGTTCATTCTTTATGAGCACGTGGGATCATATATCATAAGTAAACCAATATCAATTCGAATTGATTTCATTCTTTTTTTTTTTCTTTGATAAAGATAGAAAGAGATGTGGAAATTAATAGATTGAAAGTTGATTAAATTCAGAAAATCATTTTCTTCTAAGCGGAAAAGCAGATATATTTATAATTCTCTGTATCTCACCCCCCACCCCCCCCCCCCCCCCCCCCCAAAAAAAAAAAAAAAGAAAAATAGAATATATATTGTGAAACTTGTTTATTAAGATGAGAAAGAAACGAGGTGACCTTGAAATGTATACAAAATGAATATACATAAGGTTAGTGCGTGTAATATTAATTATGAATATGCAATTCATGAAGAGTACGAAGCATGTATAATTCAGTTTATCTTGTACCTTGGTTTGCCTCAGCGCACTCAAGAGCTAAATCAATAGCTGACTTTTTGAAGCCAATGACTACCACCTTCTTTCCCTTGTGGAGTTGATTAGCCGCTTCCTTGTCAAACTTGCAGTAATCAAGCGAATGCATCACCTTGCCCTTAAATACTTCAGGCCCTTTCTTGTGTGGGAACTCCGGAATCTTAGGTATATCTCCGTACTTCCCAGTGGAAACAACAAGAAATTCGAACGCGTACCACTGAAATGAAGCATAGAAATGAAAAATCAGCTAATAATATTGACAACAGATATGTATAATTGTCAAGACAGTATTGAAGCACATCCGTGAATCAATTAAGGACCTGAATGGTTTCAGATTGTTTGGTTTGCACAGCAACCTCCCAAATCGGCTGCCCAGGCAAAAGGCTGCCATACTCCCCAGGTTTGCCGCTAAAATCAGTTGGTTTGCGACCACCAACAAACCGGATCTCCACCACTTTTGAATTGAACATGACATACTTCATCAAATCAAAATGCTCAGCATAAGATTTCAAGTAATCCAATATCTCGATATAAGAAGGAAAACTTGGGTCATCTCTGTTAGGCCAGGGAAAATCAGTGAACTCATAATCACCGCGAGGAGATTGAAGTTTTGTGGAATTGTAAGAGCAACTTTTCCACACCCCTCCGATGGAGTCACTCGCTTCAAAAACCACTGGATTATAGTGTGATAGCTGCTTAGCAACAGCTATACCACTTACACCGGCTCCAATGATGCCTATTTTTGAGACCATCAGATCGCTTTGCCTAGCCATATGGAAAGTAATAATTTTGAGGGACAGGCTTGATAAAAATTATAATTGAACTTAGATGGTGCAATGCGATGTGGTGTTAATTTGCATGCCTATTTATAGAACTAAAAGCACGTGAATTGACTTAAAGAAAGTGAAATAGAGATATACGACCATTTCTAATCCTAATATTATAGTAGTTGTGGGAAACTGGTTCGACATCGAGACGAAATTTCGCCAACACATGGTTTCCTTTACCCCTTTTGATTAAGATATACGTTTTTTAGATCAATTTCCTTGTACCTTCAAACCCTAACTAATTTAAGACTGCTCACATGCATGATGCATGTATTATATATGGATATTTAACATGTTTACGAGTGAATAGATGAGGTAGGACTACTAACCTTGTGTCCTAGGCGATTGATATTTTTTAGGGTTTTGATGAATAAAGACCATATTATTATTTATTGGTAAGTTTGAACGATGAAAAAACAAGCTACATATAAAATAAGATAATTATTATGAGAGTTTTGATAATAATTATGATATTAATTAGATATAAATTTTGTTGGTTAAATTCACTATTTGAGCCTTTTGTTTTCACCAATTCGTGAAAAAAGTTTCTTGTCCCATTGTTATTAATTCAGTCAATAGAGTATATTATCTTAAATATTTTTTTTATATCAACTAATTGAGTACTTTTTCACTACATGAGTCATAATTAGTAACTTTTCTTCCATTCTTATTAATATCATTAGTGAACCCATACTTCCTATTGACTAGCCCATTTATCAATTTTAACAAATTGTACTCAATCAAATAAAAGAAAATATACAAATGGTCACTTGATCAAATTGATAATAAATAAGTTTTTCGATGAATTAGTGAAAACACAAAGTACAAATAGCGAGTTTAATCAATATTGTGTAAATTATAAATTAAATAATTATATATTATCGATATTGATGAGTTCGGATGACACATGTCACCTATCTTTTTTTTTCATAAAAGCCCTAAAGAATACATACTTCGCCAAGCCAACCACACATAAGACCGCCAAGGGGTAGCCATCCTCTAAGAATTGGTCATCCCCCGGGGAAAGCATTGAAGCCCTCACGACCCGAGGCACTCAAACCAAACAAGAAACAATCCAACCCACCACTCTATATGGCAACAAGAGGGACAAAATATTTAATAGAGATGTTTTCTCAAGACAACTCTAATCAAGTCAACACTCATCATGGTAGTAATGGCGCCATCAAAGCGTGAATCACATCACACCCGCAAACCACCAAATCCATTAACATCAAGTGAAATGGAGGATTCTACTTTTTCTACCATGTAACTTGTTCAAATCTTGCATATATAAAATTCTAACCACAAAGAATTCTAGGTTTCCAACTTCTCATAGTTCTCTACACCATTAAAATATCAACTCTTCATTTTATTTGTTACTTATACACATATAATATTCTATATAAGCCTAATTAGGTTATTTTGCCACTCTTCGATAATTAATTTGATCATCAAAGAGTCCCTTAATCAACCTAAAAGATTGTTTTTGCAAGTACATGATGTAGACGATTACAAAGTGCTTTATTATCTCTCAAATTTCAGCCATAACAAGCCACACCATTTTTATTTTATTAGACAAGTTTTCACATGCTCATCATTATCGCCATTTGTGAGAAACTAAGCAAAAAGCCAAGCCGGTTTCTCACATCTCTATATTGCATATTTATACTATCTCCAAGCTCACTTTGGCTAAACAATTAGAAATTCCGGATCAAAAAAACCCCTTTAGATTTTGTCAATCCTAGTGCTCAATCTATAGATATTGTTTAATTAGATCAAAACCCCATAAAAGTGCTTCTCACAACCCAAGCCTATGTTATGGTGTTAACCATATTCCCGAAGTACCATATTGTCCTTTGCTTCTAAAGACTCTTTTACCACCACGCGCGATGCCACGAGCACAAGAGGCCATATCCCGTTCTCATATATATAGACATGACCCATACTAGCGCGATAGAGCATAGAAATGATACAATGGCACAAAATAAGGAGAGTGAGGATATTGCTTTTATTTTAACTAAAAAGGCCATGCTTGTCGTCTTGAAAAAAAAAACTAGTAAGCAAGGTCCCATAAGAGGAGTAAGGGAGAAGGAAGATCATAGTACCATCATAATGCTAAGAGTGTTTACGGTGTTAGTAAGGATTGTTGTGAAAAAAACCGCATAAGTTCCTCCTTGTCGGAGACTTATTTTATCGACATGAAATCCAAGCATCATCGCATTGAAAGAAAATATAATATCTCCCCTCGATTGTATTTTGAGCATTACAAGTATATGTTTTAAACGTCATCTCTTGCTTCCTTTATTTAAAACATAAAACTCTCCAAAAAAAAATCTTGAGAAAGATGAATTTAGACACATATGATGACTCTACTAACCGTAGGAAGCATGTGTAAAATACAAACCAAATGATACACAAGTTGGTTTTGGAAGATATGGCACTAAAAGTTATAAAGTTGGTTATCTTTCATATCGAACCAATGAAGTAGCAAGTCGTGCTATAATCGAATAATTTTGTGTAAGAGGAACCCTCAACTTAGTGTGATGAGGGATTGACATCATCTATAAAGTTCTTTCTATTATCTTTTGAGGTACCACTAAAAAATAGTACAAAAATCTAGATTTGGAATCCATCCTAAATTTTAAAAACCTTAGCTTCAAGTTATTCGCCTCTTTCTCCATCAACATCCCTATCAAAAGAAACTCGGTAGATCTATTTTCAATCACATAATAAGAAGAAAAAAAAACCTAAGCATACCTTTTTTATTTTCATAAAGAGATGCTAAAAGTGGATGGGTTATTAGAGTTAATAGCAAAGAAAGCCATTTTCGAAGGAGTAACCGACACTTGCCTATAGAAATAAATATATGCCCTATTCTATCAAAATCTAAACTAGATGAAGAAGTAGTGGAATGTCACATCTATTTAGTAGAGGCTGTAGCAATAAAGGAAACACACCCTCGATTATAAAGGCCAACCGATAAAATAAGAAGAGTAAAGTTGCCACCGACTTATTCTAACTTAAAGAAAAACCCTAAAAGACTTATCGATAGTCATCTTGTCTATTTTGAACTCTAGACTCGTGGTTTTGAATGCAACTCAAACAAAAGTGTTCATATTAATCCTAGTGGAAGGGTTTGTCACTATCGATGAAGGGCCCCTCTCATCTTTAAAACTAAAAGAAGTACTGTCGGTACCACCAAGATCATGGACATGACACAAATAGTTGTTATGCTTTGAAGAAGGAGATTGAAAGGTTAATCACTTAAAGGTATCTCAAAAGGTTCTTAAAGTCACCATAATGCAATGCTCAATCACCATCCGGATAACCTCTTTAAAATTATAGTCATATTACAAGTGAATTCGAGTTGAGTTAGATGTTACCTCAAATAAAGAAACAAGGAAAAAGTAGTCATCATCATCGCCTAATCTATAATGCCATGGTACGAGCCCATTATTTACTTACCGAAGACTCTAGTGGTGTGATCTACTCGATGATAATGCCTTGGTCATCTCCACCATTTCTTCAACCATATAGGATCTATTGCATCCTAATAGACAATGAGAGTATGGTAAATATTTTGTCCTATAAGGCTTTTGACTTGATGGACTTAGAACCAAGCATTAATAGGAAAAGAAGAAAGGCAAATGCCTACCGAAAGAACTCGTATAGATCTTTGTCGCTATACGACGTCGGACGGGACCCCCTAAAGGAACTAAAAATCCGAGCTTTAGTTATTTATAAAATTATTTACGGAGTTCGGAGTCGCCACCTAATATTTAAGGAACTAGGAACCTAAAAGTAGCACTCGGTTCGGAGATTCTAAAGTAAGGAGTTGGTTACGCTTTTAGGAAGATATTTAATCACCTAAAAGTGCCCTTTTCAAAAAAAGGTACCATGTATGGTTTAGTTCTAAATTCATCTCCTAAAATTCCACGTCAAACTATTTTCCGATTTTAAACTCTTATTTTATAGACTAAATGAATTTTTTAATTTTAGGCGTGGCATCATATTGAAACGATCGTCGGTCTCCTTCGTTGGGTGACACGTCGATTCAAACATCGGATCCATTAAAAAACTTGACACAACCGACATGTTGGAGGACGTCTTAATTAAAAGGTGATTTTTGGTGACGTCGGCCCTTATCAAATAGGAGGCTTCGTCGAAAATTTTGAATTTGGTGACGTCGGTCCCTATTAGATAGGAGACTTCGTCGAATTTATTTATTATATGTTTTTTTGCATTGCGTCGGTCCTTACCAAGTAGAAGGCTTTGCCAAAATTTAGACTTTTTTTTATGATGTCGATCCTTATCGGATAGAAGACTTCGTCAAGATTTTTTTAGCAATACATATTAAATAGAAGAAAATAAGTTAAAATAATAATTCTGAATTAATACCTAAAAACGATAAGAAATAAAAATAAACGAGCTAACAAAAAAAAATTAAATGAATAATAAAGGAAAAAAATAAAAAAATCATCCTATATAAACGAGGTTAAAAAATAAATGAATAATAAAAGTAATAAAAAAATCATCCTATATCTAACCCACAACTTTTACTCTTTTTCTTTTTTTTTTTACTCGTCCCTTTTTTTCTTATATTTTTCTCTTCCTTTTACTTATTTTTTTCATAATTCTACTTTTTATTTCTTTATTACCTTTTTTTTTTTTTTTGGGTTTTTGAAAAGTGGGCTACGAGCTAGATTTTCTTTTTTTTTTTTTTTTTTGGATAAAGGGTGTAGGTCAGGTGAAATCGATCCAACCCCCTTTTCTTTTCTTTTTTTCTACCTCGGGTGAGGTCGGGCTGATTTTTCTTTTTTTTTTCTTCGCCTCGGGTTGAGTCAGGTGAAATCGATCCGACCCACGTGTTTTTCTTTTCTTTTCTTAATTGTTGGGCTTAAGCCTAGAAATAGGCATGAGTAAACGAGTGTAGACAAAAAACGAAT